CAGGGGCGGGGCCACCAGCAGAGGGCGGGCAGGGGCGATGGCCACCCCAGCCCACTTTCCAAACGCTCCAGGGGCCTCCCAGAACCCCCGACGGTGCAGAACAAGGAGAAATGCACCGACCCCGGGGTCCCCCGAGGCCTCCCACTGCAGCCCCGGGTAAGGAGGGACGGGGGGGGCGGGACAAACACACCCCGGAACAGGACGCCCCAGTCCCGCCCTGACGCAGTGTGCCCTTCAGTCCCAAGGACCGACAGACAGCAAGGACATCCCGGAAGAAAACGCCCCACCCCGGCCCCGATGTGTGTGCCCCACAGAGCCCCAGGCCCGTCTATCAAAGGGGCACCCACCGTCTCCAGCTCCCTCAGGAAGGCGTGTTGCAGGGTGCCCTCCCGGGGCGGCTTGGACACGTGGAGGTGCAGGCTGCTGCCCCGGCCCACGGTGTCCAGGCACAGGACAAAGGCCACGTTGTCCTGGAGCAGGCTGGAGTCTGCAGGGCACCAAGAGCTGGCGGGGTGGGCGGTGGTCCCCGCCCCTCCCCCCCGGCAGGCCCCCCCCACCGCCCCGAACGCCCCCACGGCCCCCACCACCACCACCCAGGGCCGTCACCTGTGTGGTCCAGGTTGTCTTCCAGCCAGCGCTTGGTTCCCTGGTAGTTAAACTTGCCCCCTCCAGAAGCAAAGAACAGGAGGTTATACCTGGTGGAGACCTGATGTTAGCTTTGACAGGAGAGCGCCGGGGGCAGAAGAGACACGGCCAGGCCACAGGTCCCTGAGGCGGGTGTGGAGGTCTCCCCAAAGTAGGAAATACTGACCAGCCCCCTAGGGCAGGGTCTGTTCCCTCAGCCCTGTGGGGCCGGATGTTTCCCTGCGGGGGGGACCATCCTGGGTGCTCAGGATGCTGAGCAGCGTCCCTGGCCTTACCCACCCTATACCAGGAGCTCCCCCATGACAACAGCTGATGGCTCAGTGTCTCTGGGCAGCAGGGCCAGCCCACATTAGACGGCAGCTCTAGAGGCCTCTCAGTCCAGGAGTAACTGGGGTGACTGACCAGGCAACAGACACCAGGAAGCCAAGAAAATAAAGACTATTCACTTAAAGAAGAAGAATTCTTTTTCTCTCCATTTGAGACAGAGTTTCGCTCTTGTTGCCCAGGCTGGAGTACAGTGGCATGATCTCAGCTCACTGCAACCTCCGCCACCTGGGTTCAAGGGAGTCTCCCGCCTCAGCCTCTTGAGTAGCTGGGATTACAGGTGCATGCCACCACACCCAGCTGATTTTGTATTTTTAATAGAGATGGGGTTTCAACATGTTGGTCAGGCTTGTCTCGAACTCCTGACCATGTGATCCACCTATCTCAGCCTTCCAAAGTGCTGGGATTATAGGTGTGAGCCACTGCACCTGGCCAAGAATTCTAACGGAACATAGCCTGGGCTGTTAGAGGGTCACCAGGATCAGAGAAGGAAACTGTTGGGGTCACCCCCTAACAAAAGCCTAGGCCGGTGGCTACCCTTATCCTCCCACGTCTGCCCCGGACTCTCTCTAACCCAGTTCCCCTCTTCCCCGGAAACCCAACCTCAGCCCTGGCTGCCAAGAAGCCCCCCATTGGGCAGAAACCAGTCCTGTTCACATGTGTATGACTGCATGAGCTTCTCAAAAGACATCAGTGGGGGGCTGGGGAGGAGGTTCCACAGCTTAAAAAAAAATTTTTTGGCTGGGCGTGGTGGCTCATTCCTGTAATTCTAGTGCTTTAGAAGGCTGAGGCAGGAGGATTGGTGAGGCTAGGAGTTCGAATCCAAGTTCCTACCTGAACCTGTATATGAGTCCCGGCGCCTGGCAGTTGCCTTGTGACTGTGAGAAGGGTAAGAAACATCCCAGCCACAGTGGCCCTGGCCCTCTGAGCCACTGACACAATGGCTGCAGGAGTCCCGTCTCGGGAGCGGGTGACTGTCTGGGCTGGGGTATCACCCAGAGGTGACTCTACCCACCCTCCCCAGGAGACAGTCGTGTCCAGGACATCTGTGGTTGCTACGCCTGGGGGTGCTCCTGCCGAGGAGTGGGTAGTGCCCAGGACAGAATCATCCGCAAAAGACATCCAAAGGGCATGGGGGACAAACCCTGCATTCATTATTTGGGGAAAAATCAAGTCTGCCCCTTGCTCACACCAGGCCCCAGGATAAACTTCTGCAGGGGCAGACAGTGTGAACCAGGGGGACTCCGGCTCCTGGGATTTGCCTCCTCTCTCCCTCCCGACTCAGGGCGTGGATTTCAATGTGTGCAGCCTCCTGGGAACTCAGTAGGGCACATGGGACACCGTCTCTTGGGGGGGTCTGTGGAATCCCCTAACCCAGGGGGTCTCACCCAGGGTGATTCTGCCCCCAGTGGAGAGTGGGCGACGCGTGAGGACATCTGCGCTTGTCATGGCTGTGGGGTACTCCTGGCATGGAATGGGTGGGGGCTGGGACGCTGCTCAGCACCCTGAAGTGCCCAGGATGGCCCCGCCCCAGGGGAAAATCCAGCCCCAACATCACAGGGCTGAGGGGAGCCCCTGGTTCCGGGGCCCTTAGCCGGGCGTCTCCACTGCTTGCGGCTGACAGTGCTCCCAGCAGGCTCCGCAAAACCCTGCCTGGGGCGAACACCAGGCGGGTCGTGGGACTCCAAGAGACGGAGCCTTCCAGGGCTGGGCTTGCCCTTGATAAACCGGCGCCCAATTCCTGGGATTCCTGGGCTCCCTGGGCTCAGGCCCACATCAGGGCCAGGAGGCGCCACAGAAACAGGTGCAGAGGCGCCTGGTGGGTGGCACTCGCCAGCAGTGTGGCCCCCGCACCCCCGCCCCCGCCCGCCCCTGGCACTCACGCTGCATGCGTGCGCTTGTAGGTATAGAGCCGGGAGAAGAGGCGTGCCAGTTCCAGCAGCACAGAGACGCCGCTCCCATTGGAGTCCGCGCCCAGTGACAGCCACTGTGGGGGTGGGAGAGGCAAGGCCACGGTCACCCCACCCCGTTCCCGCACCCCAGTGACCTCACTGCCCACAGCAGCCACGGTCATCTCTGCGCTGTCCCCAGCCCCTATGCCATGTCCGGCAGGCAGCTGGGTGGCTCCCCTCCTGTGTTAATCCTGGAGTGATGGCCTGGGGTCTGCAGGGTCCCCCGAGCCCAGGACTCTCCTCATCCACCTCAACTCAGCCCCACCCGGAAGATGCTACACAGTTTGGAGCCCAGGGCCGGGCCAGATTCACTCACAGAGGGCAGTGTCTGTCCACCCCCGGTCTCTGCGCGGGGTCCCCTCTTCGGACCCAGCCCTTCCGCCCTCCAGCCCCAGCCTCAGGGCATGGCCTGACCACGTGCCTTTCCTGCCCCGATGCACCTTTGTGATCTAAAGCCGAGTTCTCAAAAGGCCACACTGCTTCTTGGACACTGCGATGGCTTGGGACCGTCCCAAGACCACAGCGTATAAAGGGGCCCTTGGTGGCACTGAATCAGGGGGAGGCAACACCCTCCTCAGTGGGAGAAGCCAGATCCAAAAGGATTCGTGCACAGTGTAGCATCCATTCACACAACCCGTCCCAAAGGCCAGCCCACAGGGACCCGGATGGATGTGTGCGTGCCGGGGTTCCAGGGCTGGGGAGGGGACCGAGTGACAGCTGATGGGGCAGGGCTGCTTTTTGGGGTGATGGAATGTTCTGGAATTAGCGGTGGAAACTGTACGATTCTAAATGCACTAAAAGCCACTTGCACACTCTAAAATGGTGAACGTTACATCGTATGACAATCTCAAAACATAAATATAAAACAAAAAGAGCTTCACCAGGACAGTGAAGAAAAAGATACCGAGAAGGGCAGGGCGCAGTGGCTCACGCCTGTCATCGCAGCACTTCAGGAGGCCGAGGCGGCTGGATCACCTGAGGTCAGGCATTCAGGAGGCATCGCCCTGAACAGCTTGAGTTTGTGTGTGGGCCCCGGCGGAACCAGGCTTTTTCAAGGCTAGGGGCCTGGCCCTCCAGGGGATTGGGCAGCAGATCAGAGCTGGCCCTCGCGCTCTGCCTGGCTCAGCTGATTTGTGTTCAAGGCAGGCAGCAGGGTGCCGGTTTACAGGGTGGTGCACGCCCCGACCCCCTTCAACCCACGCTCAACAGAACGAGCTTGTGCGGCAGCCTGGGACCAGGACCCTGACCTTGACTGACAGCACGGGCTCCGGGGCCGAAGCCATGTTCACAAACACCGTGGTTTACGTGAGGCCCTGCTTCCCTCTAGAATCTGGAATCCCAGCATTGGCCAGGCAGCTGGGGACGCAGAACCAGCCCCTAATAGGAACTGGGTCGCTGGACCTCTGAAAGCTTTGCTAGTGACAGTGCTTCAGGCTCACTGCTGGGGTGAGGCACGGGGAGAGGGCCTGGCCTCCCGGCCGCACACCACGTGCCTTTCCCTTCCAGTACTCTGCTCCGTGCTGCGTCCTCTCACTGGCAGACCACAGCTGCCAGGCAGCCTCGTGCGGAGCCACAGCACCCAGGGCTGGCCCTGGCGACCCTGACTCAGACTCCCTGCGCTCAGCCTCTGACACAGCCACCTCCCTGCCTAGGGACCTGGGACCCCCGGCAAGAGCCCAGCCTGTTTCAGTCCCACGACACCCACCCTGAGGCCCTCTCGGAGACCGGGATGATGGGCAGAGGCCATTGAGGGGTGAACCGCTGAGACCCCCGTGCTGTCCCCACACACGCTTTTCCTCAGCACTGGCCTGGAGCCAGAGTCCCTGCCCCGTGGGGGGGAAGGGGATGCACATACGTACTGGGGCCACTCCGAAGGCGTCGTAGTGGGCCACGATGACGATGGTGGGAAGGTCCTCTCCGCCCAGCCCCGTCAGCCGCCCCTGCAGAGAGACGGCGGGGTCGTGGCCGGGCTGCTCCCAGGGCAGGTGAACCCTGGGTGGGGCTTGGAGGCCCCTCCCCTCTGGGCTACGTGGGGCCCGCCCACCAGGTTCCAACATGGTCCTCAGCGCCGAGGCCCATAGAAGATGCCAGCCTCTGACTCTGGGAGCCCCAGGGAGCTCCTCTGGAGAGGAAATGGAGCCGGGAACAGGGACCCCACCCTGCTCTGGCCCTCAGGTTGAAATCTTTAAAAACCGGGGAAGAGCAGGAGGATAACTTTTTATAGGAATGGGACCAAGTCTGTGAGCCAGGCATTCGGGTCCCTTCAGGGTCTGTGTCCACCTGCCCCCAAACCGCCCTCTTACCCCACCAAAGTCGGATTCCACTGTAGCCCGTGGCCGGCAGACTAGACTTTCATAAAAGGCCAGAGGGGATATTTTCAGCTTTGGGGACCAGATGGTGTCTGTTGTAACTACTCAGAAGCTGCCGCGGACGTGTGCACGCGCATGGGCGTGGCCGGGCGCGGGGCTCAGCCTGTCATCCCAGCTCTTTGGGAGGCCATGGCCGGCAGCTCACCTGAGGTCAGGAATTTGAGACCAGCCTGGCCAAAATGGTGAAACCGTGTCTCTACTAAAAATACAAAAAACTAGCTGGGCGTGGTGGCACATGCCAGTAATTCCAGCTATTCGGGAGGCTGAGGAAGGAGAATCACTTGAACCCAGGAGGTGGGGGTTGCCGTGAGCTGAGATTGTGTCACAGCAGCGGCTACGCAGGCATCACCTGCTGGATCTGCCTCGATGACCTGAGCGGCTGCTTCCACACCAGCAGCTCCCCGCCCTCTCACAACCCTGCTGAGCCCGACACCCTGGGTGCTGGGAAGGGTCCATGAGGACGCAGGGTCTGGCTGATGGGTGAGGTTATGTGACAAGAAGGGGCTGGGGACCCTGCAGCCTGAAGGGGGCTTCCTGGGAGGGGCAGCCGGTGCAAAGGCCCTGGGGTGGGAGGAGGCGGCACGGTGTGCAGGGCCCCATGATGGAAGGCAGGAGACAGGCCAGGGGTTGGCAGGCCCTAGGCACGCCACAGAGCGACTCCCTGGCCATGTGACGAGTCTGGGTTCTTTCGGTCGCCACTAGAGCCACAGGAGGGGCTTCAGCCAGGCAGGGGCGTGGTCTGACCCCAGCTCCCCATCAGAGGCTCCCTCTTGTATGGCTGAGCCGTGGAGCCAGGCGGATGGCAGGGACCCCTGGGGACACGGGGCCGGGGCGGGGCGGGCGGCAACTCACCTCCACGCTGGCGATGAGCCAGTCGCTCACGGCCTTGCTCTGCACCCCGCTGGTGACCATCTGGAAACCGTTGGCGGTGGCCGTGCGCAGGAGCACTGTGGAGAGGGAGAGGGGGACAGCGCGTCAGCCAGGCTGCAGCCAGGGGGCATCCCCAGCACCCACACCACCACGCCACAGGTCGGTGTCTCGGGCAGAGCCCGCCAGCCGGGTGCAGGGACGTCCCCAGCAGACCTCGATACCGCGCGATACCAGCACTCCTCCAGGACAACCTTCTCTTGAAAGTATTCCCATCTCCTTTCTGGAACGTTCTGCTGGGGAACTGTTCCTCCATGCCATTCTGATCCTTTCCTCCTGGGCACTCAGTAACAGCTGTTCACTTAGGGACTTACGGCTGGGGCCTGGCCAGGACTTTGAGTCTGCACTTCTCGTGTTTTAATGCATTTTTAAATCACAACTCTTTTTTTTTTTTTGAGACAGGGTCTCACGCTGTTGCCCAGGCTGGAGTACAATGATGCCATCTTGGCTCACTGCAGCCTCTACCTTCCAGAATCAAGCGATCCTTCTGTCTGGGCCTCCCAAAGTGCCAGGATTGCAGGTGTGAGCCACTGGGCCTGACCTAGAAACACAATCTTTTGAAACAAGGGATGATAAAACATTAATGATAAAATAAAAACAAAACCTCAACTGTCGTGGGTATATAAAATGTGATCACTGGGGGACGTGCGTCCCAGGAAACTCTGTAATATTTTTTAAACTTCTTATAAGTATAATATTTCAAAATTAAAAAGTTGTTTTTGGCCGGGCACGGTGGCTCACGCCTGTCATCCCAGCACTTTGGGAGGCAGAGGCAGGCAGATCACCTGAGGTCAGGAGTTCGAGACCAGTCTTACTAACATGGTGAAGCCCAGTCTCTACTAAAAATACAAAAATTAGCTGGGCGTGGTGGTGTGCACCTGTAATCCCAGCGACTCAGGAGGCTGAAGAAAGAGAGTCACTTGAAGCCGGGAGGTGGAGGTTGCAGCGAGCTGAGATTGTGCCACTGTACTCCAGCCTGGGCGACAGCCCACGTGTGGGGACGGGCAACAAGAGCGAAACTCTGTCTCCAAAGAAAAAAATTACTTCTAAAAAGACGGTTGTGACCAATAACGTGTGACTGCTTTTTTCCCACTAACCGTCATGAAATAAGCATTTCTCCACGCCAGCAGTCTACCTCAACGTCAGGGTTATTTATCAGTATTATTATTATTTTTTTTTTTTTTTTGAGACGGAGTTTCACTCTTGTTACCCAGGCTGGAGTGCAATGGCGCGATCTCGGCTCACCGCAACCTCCGCCTCCTGGGTTCGGGCAATTCTCCTGCCTCAGCCTCCTGAGTAGCTGGGATTACAGGCACGCGCCACCATGCCCAGCTAATTATCAGTATTATTTTTTATTGCTTATCTATTGATTATTTTAGACACCTGTTTTGCTGTCAGCAGGCTGGAGTGCAATGGTCCAATCCTAGCTCACTGCAGCCTCCCTCCTGGGCTCACGAGATCCTCCCACCTGGGCCTCTGGAGCAGCTGGGACTACAGGCATGCACCACCACACCTGGCTCATTTTTTAAATTTCCTGTAGAGACAGGACTCTTGCTATATTGCCCAGGACTCTTGCTATACTGGCCTCAAGCGATCCTCCTGCCTCAGCCTCCCTACATGCTGGGACAACAGGCGTGAGTCACCATTCCTGGCCCTCAACATCATTTTTGCCAGCTGCGTCATACTCCACCAAGTATTAGATTCCTCCTTCAGGTTGCGGTGAGCCGAGCACTCCAGCCTGGGCAACAGAGGGAGACTTCGTCTCAGCCAAAAAAAAAAAAGAAAAATAAAATAAAAAAATAAAAAAAAACCTGCAGAACTACACTCTCCTAATGCCACAACAAAAATGGCCATTGTCAAGACTTTTAATCTAGACCAGGGGTTGGGAACGTTTAAGGGCCAAATACCACTTTTGGCTCTGCGGACCAGAGGGTCTGTTACAGCCGCAGCAACTCAGCTCTGCTGCTGGGAAAGCCGCCAAGGATGGTGCATAAATGAATGTGGCCCAGTGCTAATAAAACTTTATCAACACAAACGGGTGGCCCCTGGGCCGGCGTTAGCCAATGCTGGATCTAGAGTCCCGGTGATCTGGCGGTGTAGGATGAACCTTTTTTATAGCTTGAAACCACAGCACCAAACTGCTTTGGGTGGGGCAGGGCCGGGACAAACCCCCGTCGTGCCCTATTCTTTGCGGCCCTGGGCTTGGCCTCCTTTCTCAGCCCTGCTCCGCCAGCAGCTGACCACGGCCCCGGGCAGCCCCTCAACTGTTTCCTCCAATTCCTCTTTCTCCCTCACTCTGGACAGCGCTCCACTCCCACTATCCCCGGGACAGGTGCTGCGCCGAGCTCACTGCCAGGGCCCCCATTCGCGGGGCCGGAGGAAAGAAAGGCGCGGGCCCCTTTCCCTGAGAACACCGCCGATGACCTGCACGGCTTGCTGGCGATGTGATGCTGGATCTCCCCGGCAGGTGGAGAGCTGAGGACATGCCCGTGTTTTTCACACGCCACGAGCCCCTGAGGATGACGGGAAAGGCCTCCCACTGAGTCGGTGGTTCTGGTCTTTCGTGTGTACACAGCCAGCAACCAGGCGGGCGTCGGGGGGCTGCAAAATGCAGAGTCCGAGGTCCCAGCCCCGAGGTGGTGACGAAACAGGCCCACGAAGGGCCCAGGAACCCCCACTGTTAACCCTGGTGAAGGGATGCCACACGCTGAGGGTAGGAAAAGCTCAGGACGTCGGCAGCCCTCGGGACGGGGACACCTCCCAACGCCCACCGCCCCTGCCCTGCAGCCTGGAGCCCACCTTCAGCGGCAGAGGCGGAGCCCTGGGAGGCGGAGGCGGCCTGGGTCTGCTCGTAGATGGACAGCAGCGCCTCGTCCTCCACGGCGAAGTACACGGGGACGATGGTCTCCATGGCCAGCATCTCAGGCTCGATCTCCATGAATTGCTGTGGAGCAGACGCACGCTCAGGGGGCTGCTGCTGGCCTGGTAGGGGTGGCGAGGTAGCGGGGGCCCAGTGGCAGTCCCTGGAGGGCAGGAAGGCCCTCAGATGGTGGCATGAACCAGGGGGCACTCACGAGAAACAAGCGCTTCCCCCATCCCGCCCGCCCCTCATCTGCAAGAGCACCTTCACTCAGGGCATCTGCTGGGTTCTGCCAGGTCCTGTGCCCTGAAAGCAGGGCCTCCCTCGCAGCCCCGTGGGCCCTGGGGCCTGATCACTCCCTGGGGCAGGGCTGTCTTGGGCACTGTGGGGTGCTGAGCAGTGTCCCTGGCCCCCACCCACTCAACACCCAGAGCAGCCCTCCCTGAACACCTCCAGACATCAGCCAGCATCCTCTGAAGACAGAATCCCCACTTTGGAGAACAATGGTGCAGGGGAACCCCCATCCATCCCACTTTCCAAAGGGCTCAGAGAGGCAAATCGACCTGCCTAGGGTCACACAGCTGCTTCCAAGTCCAGCCCCAGCTTCTGGACTGGAGCTGGCTGGGGCAAGGCAGACGCTCACCCGGACGACGTCCTGGGGCACAGCGGCCATGGCCCGGGGCAGGATGATGACCACGGCGCCCGCCGACTGCCGCAGGGCCTTCTGGTACTGCTCGTAGGAGAAGTCCAGGAGCCGCATGAGCACACAGCGGCGGCTCAGCACCTCCGCGGCCATCGTGCGCGCCTCCGTGTTCAGCACCGCGTTCCGCGTGCCTGTGGGGACAGGGGTGGGGCTGTGAGCCTCGGTGGGTGGCCAGGCCAGAGGGAGGGGACAGACCCAGGCCAGAAACCCATCCAACCGCCCCAGCCCCAGCCCAGAACCTGGGGCCCTCGTCTGGGAGACCGCCGATTCAAGAACTTCCCAGGGCCCCCCAAGCCTGCCCCCTGCACACCTGGTCACCAGGGCAGGCCTATGCCCATAGGCTCAGCGCCCGCATTAACCCTGGGTCCCAGACCTTCTGAGAAGCTTTTTTTGTTTTTTTTTGTTTTATATTTAAGACAGGGTCTCACTCATTCTGTCGCCCAGCCTGGAGTGCAGTGGTGCGATCTCGGCTCACTGCAGCCTCCATCTCCCGGGTTCAAGTGACTCTCCTGTCTCGGCCTCCTGAGTAGCCGGGACTACAGGCACCCACCACCACACCTGGCTAATTTTTGTATTTTTAGTAGAGACCCACATCTGAACCAAAAATACAATGTGGGCCAGGATGGTCTGGAACTCCTGACCTCTGGTGATCCGCCCATCTTGGCCTCCCAAATTTCTGGGATTACAGGTGTGAGCCACCTCACCCAGCCCCTTTGGAAACTCTAATGCAAGCAGAGACCCTTCTCCCTGGAGAAACCCACATTTCCCCGCCACCATGCCGAAGTTTACACGGGATCCCCAGGGCTCCGCAAACCTCTTCCGCAACAGACCAGAAAGTATTTCTGATCTCGATCACTCAGCTCTAAAACTGCAGGGTGAGTGCGGCCGTGTCGGACAGGGGAGCCAACATGTGGGGCTGTGTGCCAATAAAATGCCATTAATTAGGCCAAGGGCGGGCCACCAGCTGGGGCCCACTCCCCTGAAGCTGGTACATGGGCCGCAGGTTAAACCCCTGCACTGGGCCATGAGACAGGAACGGAGCGCCCCTCGGGCTCTCCAGCTCTGGGTCTACCCTGCCAGGCCTTGGAAACAGAAGCTTTCTAGAAATCCGGGGGCTGGGGCGGCCCGAGGCTCAGCAGCTCGAGCTGCGGCATCTGTGGTGTGAGGCGGGGGCTTCCCAGGAAGGCCAGGACCACGGGTGAGAGCGTGCGGCTGTCACTTCCTCTCGGGCTTATTCATTTCTGCGGTGGTGCTCCCCATCGAGGCTCTGGAAGCTCGCCAGGGCTCCTGGTTTTGCTTCCTGGGACTCCCATTCCCTCCTCTCTCAGCAAAATGCCCTCCGCCCGGCAAGACGCAGCCCGGGGGTCCCTGCTCTGTGCCCCTGAGCTGCACACGCACCCCCCACTTCCTGCCTCTTCACCCCTACAAGGATTGAGCTGCTGCCCGCCACGCTCCACGAAGGCCACCTCAGTGGCCGTGGAAGGACCCTGGAGGGTGCCTTTAGAGCGGCCACCGCGCTCAGCTGGGACGCAGGCCTCAGTGGGCCACACCAGAAGCTGCAAATCCCAATTCCTACGTCATGTCGCCACAGGTTAAAGACAAGCAATGATCTAAAACATCTCCAGCGCCGCAGACAACCCCACGCCACCAAAGCCCGAAAGCAGACCTGCCGCAGGCGGGCCGGGCGCGGGCCCGGGGGACCTCCAGCAGGAATCCCGAGCAAGATGCACTCAAAACAGCGACGCACAGGGCTGATTCCAGCGACCCTGGAGCCGGCCCTGCTATGAAGGTGGACGCTGGGGGACCCTCATTCTCTCATCTCCCCATACACGCAGCTCCTCCTGGGGCCTGCACTGAGCCCCAGCCTTGCTGTCTAGCAATGCGCTGTCTGGGAAGTGCCGGAGGGGGAAAAGCTGCCTGCTCCAACGGGGCATCCAATGAGCTGAGCTGGGTGCGTGGGGGACAGGTGTGACACAGAAGGGACACTGGGAATGGGTGGGGTCTCGGGAGCAGCACAGGGAGGTGGGCACAGAGAACCAGCTTCAAGGCTCGGGATGGAGAAGCCACTACACGCCCCGGGTCCGCAGCCTCACCCCTGCTCCCCTCAGAGCCTGATGCCACCAGGCCTGCTGGGGGCCTCTCCTCTTCCCTTGGGAGGCCCTCAGGGTCCTGCAATGCCAGGAGCGACCCTTCCCTGCGCCCCACCTGTCCCCACGTGCCCTGGCCTTCTGGGGCAGCTCGAATGCCCGAATGCCACCTCTCTGGGGGCGGGAGATGAGGCCACTGGCAGGCACCAACCCCCCACCCCGTTCTCCAGCCTCGAACTCCCACAGGTGGACGCAGGACCCGCTTCACAAAGCGAGCGAGGCTGGAGAAGGGAAGAGCAGCAGCAAGTCAGAAGAGGGGCGGACACCAGCGCCAGGGCTCCCTGGAGGCCACGGCCTCGCCTTTAGGATGGAGCCCGCCCGTCTGAGCCCCGCCTCGAATCAGCACCTGCCGAGGCCACGCTGCCCTCCAGGTCCCAGCTCCTGCTCCCTGGGGGCACAATGGCAGGGGCTCTCTGTGACCAAGGCCCATCTGCCCAGGAGCACAGGTGGCCCTGGGTGGCCCCAGCCTCTCCTGAGGGCCACGGTTGGGCCGGGTGCCCACAAGCCAGTGCGGACACGGCCCTGTGCAGAGGCGAAATCAGTGCCAACTCCCTCAGCCCCAAGTCTGGGTGGGCAGAGGCCACTCGTGGTGGACACTGTGAAGGAGGGCACTGGGCATCCTGACAGAAGTCACCAGTAGGAGTGACAGGACCAGACCTGAACAACAGGCTGAGCATCTATCTGTTGAGGGCCAGGCGACCGCCGGCCAGGCGACCGCCCTTTCCCCGCACGGGCCATGGGGTTTTGGGATGATCACCCAGCTCGGCTGTTTCTAAGTGAGAGCAGCCAGAGACAAGATGTGAAAGGATGGGCGTGACTGTGTGCCAATAAAACTTTATTAACAACAACAGGCGGAGGGCCAGACGTGACCTACAAACTGCAGTCAGCCGGCTCCCAGATAAAGGAGTTCTGGCAAGTCTGATGGACTTGGAGGGTCCTGGGAGCTGGGCGCTCCAAAGGGTACTAACGTTCCCACCTCACAGGGGCCATGAGCTCAACCAGCCCCACCTGCTGTGAAGGCAGCAGAGCCCAGAAAGGGCTGGAGTCCGCTGAGCAGAGAGGGGCATTGTGCACCTGGCCAGTGAGACCCAGACCACACCCCAACACAAAGGGCACCGCCCCGCCCTGCATTTCTCAACAGCAGCAGGAAGGAAGTTGGGAAAGGATCCCCAGTGCGTAAAGGGTGCTGCTGCTCCGGGTGGTGGGGCCGGGGCAGCAGCCGCTGGGGCTTCTCCAGGGCTGTCCTCAGCAGGGCTCTGGCCCAAATCCCCAGTCTCTCAGAGCTGCCAGAGCAACACAGTGGGGTGTGTTGGCCGGGCCTCCCCTACCCTGCGAGAGCTGGGCTGTGCTTCCCGGGGCGCAGACGAGGAGCACGGAGGCAGCTGCCCCACGAGCCTCTCCGCTCATTCCCAGAGCCCACGGACCAGCTGGGCAAATGCCCGATACAGGGAAAGCCGGGCCCAGCTTCCTCACCAGGAGAAAGGCCGGGGGCCGGGAAGGAGGGCAAGGGAAGAAGACGCCCATCGGACGGAACACTCAGAAGGAAACCCTGGATTGCGGGCAAAGGCCCCAGAGGAGCGAGGGGAAGAGAAAAGACTGCAGGGGAAAGGAAGGGAGGGCGCCACGAAAAGGGGCCGAGGGAATCGGGGGAGGAGATGGGGCGAACGTCAGGAGGCTGTGGAGAAAAGGAGGCCCCACCAGGAAGCTGGAAGGCGACTCCGGGAAGCCGGAGAGGGCGTCTGGCTGGCTGGGGAACGGCGGGACACCTGCTCGCTCCACAGCCAAATGCATTCCCCGGGTAGGTTCACGGGAAGAGGCAGGGCCCACATCCGCCCAGGGACAGTGTAGGAGCCGCCAGAGCACGCCTGCCCCGGGGGCTGGAGGGAGGCAGGTGAGCTGGGGGCCCAGGCAGGAGACACCAGGAGTGCGAACAGGGCCTCAGAGGGGCCTGGAGAATTTATCTTGAGCAACAGGAGTGGGGTCTTTCGGGTGCAGATCATGAAAATCCTGCCCCTCGGCTGCACAGGCCACATTTTGGGTGCTCGGCAGCCTCCTGCGGCTGGTGGTTTCTGTGCCAGGCAGTGAAGATGGAGGTCACAGCCACCTGACGGCTCTACAGGACAGTGCCCCCCACCGCGGGAAAATGCCGACCAGCACTGGAAAACGCGGTCACTGCATTAGAGCTCAGGGCCTTCCACTCCCACCTATGGAGCCCGGAGCCTTGGGTTTACACCACCACTCCGGCCCAAGGGCTCCTCCCTGGACACTGGGGCCGTATCGTTCTCAGGGATGCGGCCGTCCTGGGTACTGCAGGGTGCTAAGCAGTGTCCCTGGCCTCCACCCACACAATGCCAGGCGCACCCCCAGTCATGATAACCACAGATGTCCCCAGACATCACCCAGCGTCCCCTGGGTTAACAGCAACAGCTCTAAATGAAAACATCTTAACTCTGGGGCAAAACAGGGCCTGAGGCCAAACTCTGGTTGCATCTCCAGAAATGGGCTCCCCAAGGGCTGGCAGAGGCTGGGGGTCCCCGTGCCTCAGGCTGAGCCTGAGATGTAATGAGAGGAGCCAGTACAGGAGAATCTGGGCTCAGAAGGAAAAAGCCCGTGAGACCACGTGAATGGGAACTCCTTTACAAGGGAGGTCAGGCCTTGACATTCAGGGACCTAAGGGGCCAAGCTGAAAAGAAGAAAAATCAGGGACCAGAAGGTTCTGGAATGCCACAGACAGCTACAACCAGGAAAAGGCAAGGGGATGTGGAATGATTTGGACACTGGGGTCAGCGCCACGATGGGGGGTGAGGGGGCTGGTGAGTGGGAGCATTGCAGAATTCAGGGGCAAGGGGACCTGGGGTGTATGAATTTGGAAGGGAATGAGTAAATCCTGGAAAGATGGAACCAGCGGGGTTCTGGGAAGTGGCAGTGAGGAGGCTGAGCTGAGGGCGTGGATATGCATCAAAGGCGGGACAGAGAAGGGGGTCAAAGGTGATCGGAGGAACTTGGGACGTGGGAGGCAGCCAAGGAGGCTAGGCTACCAGATTCTGAAACATATGACCCCGAACTGGGACCAGGGTGTCAGGGGCCTGGGAAGAAATGGGACCTTGCCGTGGGGGCAAGTGACCAGAGTGAGAAAACTCAGAGTGGGATTCAATTTGGACAAAGTGCACTCTGCACCCAGGGCCGTGGTAGGGGGTGGGGACTGCTGGACCACTGCGTGGAGTGGTTCAGCCTGGCAGGAATCAGTGCGGGGATCTTTAGCTCCAAACGCAGTCAGGGACCAACCAGATGGTCTCCAGAACAGGGACCTGGGCGCTGGAGATCAGGACGGGACAGGGAAGCCGAGGGGCAGAGGGGACCCAGGAGAGAGAGACTCGGCAAGGCAGCTCAACGTCGGCCCAGCCAGGGACAGGAGAGAGGGGACCTAGGGCTCCAGGAGCGCGCGACGCTGGGCCCGGCCATGGGTTCCAGGGCAAGGAGGCCTGAGCAAGGGTCGGGCGGCCCAGGCCGGGGCTGAGGATCGGCCTGGGGCTGGCCGGGCGTGAGTGGCGTGGCCGGGGAGCCCGGGGAGCCCCGTGGGTGGGCCGGGGACACGCACCGTAGGGCTGGCCCTGCAGGTCGTACTGCTGCATGCGGTACACGGTGAACTCGTGCGCGGCGTCGGCGGCGGGCAGCGGCGGCGCCACCAGCAGCAGCACGGCGGGCAGGAAGACGATGAAGCCAAGCGGCAGGCACGACGCCTTCAGCATGTTCTCCAGCACCTCGCCCGCTTCCTCCAGCATCCTGGCTGGCGGCGGGGCCCCACGGGGCGGCGGCGGGAACGGGACGGCGGCAGCGGCGGCTCCCGCGGACTCACCTCGGCATGGGTAGCCGCCGGGGTCCTGCGGGCGCCGCGCCGGGCAGCCCGCTCTCGCTCTGGGGTCCTGCGGGCACCGCCACGAACCGCCCCGCCAGCCGCGCTGCCTTTCGGGAATTGCAGTCAGCCCGGCGCTCGCTGAGCTCCCTGGGAGTTGTAGGCCCACTCTGGGACTCCCGGAAGGTGCGACGGGCTGTTGGGCTAACACCGCTGAAGTTTCACATAAACTCCAAGTCATAAAATGCAGTAAAATGTTTTAAAAAAACTATTTCGCAGTAGCACTTTCTTAACCCTGTCTTTGGCGTGAGGGGAGGTGGGGTGAGGGGCTAAATGTGGCGGGTGGCGGGGGTGGGGTGGGAAACAAGACGTGACCTTGCGACCTGGAAGGAAATTGGAGTTAAAGGGACATTAAGTGCTGGTCTGGCGCGCTAACTCTTCTGGGGGTTGTAGTCCCATCAAACAAACACAAAGGGTCACGGGAACTGTAGTCTCCCTGGCAGAAATTGCTGAGAAAAACAAAAATCACTTCAACTCCCCCAAGGATGTAGATGTCAAAGTCCACGAGGGCAAAGACTTACGCCTGTTTTGTGCATATGATGTATCCCCGGCACCTAGCACAAGACTTGGCGCACGGCGGGTGGCCTGTGCCATTTTTGAAAGAATGAATGAAAAATAAAAAGTCATGATAGTCAGTTCCTAAGGGAGGACGCAGTGGGTTATGGGACTTGTAGTCTGGAGCCTGCGGTTTATGAAGGAGTTTGTTGCAAGCTTATTTATCTTTATTCACAGTTGGGGCATATTTGTACTAAAAAGGTATTAGTTGTTCACCAGAAATTTCAAGTTAACTTCTGGGTATTCCACGTTGGTTTTTCTCTAACCTGCCAACCCTAAGAACCCAGTGTCTCAGGGCTAGAGGTACCTAAGAAACGTTCCTTTGTCCAGATGGGAAGACTGAGCCCCAGGGTTCAGCAGACAGCAGCCCTGAGTCTCAACATCCCAGGCTCTATAGGAGCCTAAGGCGTCGGGGCTTCCTTTCTGTCCCAAGTGAGAAGTGGTATTTGTGCCGATTAAGAGCCTTGGCTAAAAATCCCAACTCCTCCATTTCCCAGCTGTGTGGCTTTCAGCAAGTTGCTTCACCTCTCTGAGCCTCGGTTTCCTCTGATATAATGAATCAAGCACTCTCCCCGCCGGTGGCATGTGAGAATTCTATTTAACTAGTTGTTTATTATTATTATTATTATTATTAGAGACGTAGTCTCTGTCACCCAGGCTGGAGTGCAACAGCTCCATGTCGACTCACTGCAAACTTCGCCTCCCGCATTCAAGCAATTCCTGTGCCTCAGCCTCTGGAGTAGCTGTAATTACAGGCGTGAACCACCGCGCCCAGCTGGAAAGGGGGTTTCTGAGCGTGGTGCTGGGTTACCAAGCACTTACTGTGTGCCAGGCCACGTGCTGGGTGCTGGGGACACAGCCAGGAACCCGACAAAGCCACAATACCCACCGACGCGGAGCTCAAAGTCGGAAGGAGGAAATGGATGTGTGACCAGAGGCGATGGGAGCGGTGACAGACGACACACAGGCAGCTGTGGGAAGCCCAGAGGAGGCCTAGGGAGGCGAGGAAATCAGGGGAGGCTTTCTGGAGGAGGAGACACTTAGGCTGAAACTCTAAAGATGAGCTGGAGCAGTTGAGTGAAGAATGAGGGAAAGCTGTGCCCAGTAAAAGCAGAGCTGTCATGCAGGAAACACAGGCAGCTGTGGGCGCCTAGCGGGGACCTAGGGAGCAGGAGAAGTCAAAGTAGGCTTCCTGGAGGAGGTGACACTAAAGCTAAGGTACAAAAATGAGCAGACAGAAGTCGAGTGATGAATGAGGCAAGGCGCATTCTATCAAGGCCAGTCCATCGGGGGCAACAAAGTTTAAGTGAAAAGCCCCCAGTTGGGAAGGAGCAAGAAGGTTCAGCTCAGCCAAAGCAGGGCAGAGGGGACAATGGAGCCAGCTTACACGGGCCCAGAAGGCAGACAGAGAGCTCCGGACCTGCCCAGACTCCACTCATCCCAAATTCCACCCACACCCCACCCTGCCTTCCTGCTGTGATCCCCACTAAACACACACAGAACAGGAATCAGGAGCAGAAAAGTACCCCCTCTTATTATGCATGCGGAGGGGTGTTTGGGACACACCAGTGAAGTGGCCGGCCACACTTCCTTCTGTCTGCAATTGGCCGGTCACAGTAGCTCATGCCTGTAGCCCCAACACTTTGGGAGGCTAAGGCGGGAGGATTACTTCAACCCAGGAGATTGAGACCAGCCTGGGCAACACAGCAAGACCCTGTCTCTCTCTCTCTCTTTCTTTTTTTTTTTTTTTTTTTGAGAAGGACTCTTGCCCTGTCATCCAGGCTGGAGTGCGGTGGCATGAACTGGGCTCACTCCTCCTCCCGGGTTCAAGCGATTCTCCTGTCAGCATCCCGAGCATCTGGGATTACAGGCATGCGCCACCACACTTGGCTAATTTTTGTATTTTTAGTAGAGATGGCGTTTCTGCATGTTGGTCAGGCTGGTCTTGAACTCCTGACCTCAGATGATCCACCTGCCTGGACCTCCCAAAGTGCTGGGACTACAGGTGTGAGCCACCGCGCCCGGCAATTTCCATGAATTTTCAATAGCCACGGCTGGCTCACGGCTGCTGTGTTGGTGGGTAAACGGCCCCTCCACGCCACATCCCCATCATACAGTGGAGAAAAATGACGTAAAGCAGAGCTGCCTGAGCTCAGGCGGCGGGCAGGGTGGATTCTGACTCTCTCCACCCAGACTCTGGACTGGGCAGGGTGGCTTGGTCCTGGGAGGAGGAGGGCGAGCGCTGTCTATGAGCTGCAGGTGCCAGAGGCTTCTGGGTTTACATCTGCAGCGAAACCGCAGCCACCCACCCCAGGGGGTACCGAAATATAAACAGATTCAAATTAAACACAATCTACACTTCCAAGTTCAGTTCTCTGGTTCACCGTAGCCCCGTGGGGCTGGCGTCTCCTGTACAGAATGCGGTGGAGTTGAACATCTCCACGGAAAGTTGTTTTTTTTTTCTTTTTTTAGAGACAGGGTCTCGCTATGTTGCCCAGGCTGGAGTTCAGTGGCTATTCACAGGCGCGATCCCACTAAGGATCAGCATGGGAGTTTTGACCCGCTCCGTTTCCAACCTGGGCCGGTTCACCCCTCCTTAGGCAACCTGGTGGTCCCCCGCTCCCGGGAAGTCACCATATTGATGCCGAACTTTGGCAGACACCCAACTGGCATAGCGCACTACAGCCCAGAACTCCTGGGCTCAAGCGATCCTCCCGCCTCAGCCTCCCGAGTAGCTGGGACTACAGGCACGTACCACCGCACCTGGCTCCACAGCAGGTTTTACGGGACACGCAGTCCCCTGTGGCTGGCGCTGGGCAGGTACCGGCAACCTTGTCCTTCAGCTTCAGTGATTAAACCATTTTACAGATGGGGAAAGCCGAGGCTGTTCATGCTAAAGGGGACGTGAGGGAAGATTTCCCAGGCCAGAAGGCCAAGGCCGCTGCCTCTGCCGGCCCCCAGACCAGGTCCCCAAAAGGTGCAGAGGCCAGAGCTGGGGCGTGGGCCCTGCCATTTGTAAAGGGGAAGTGAACAAGGAGAGGTGGCATTAACTGTCACTGTCACCCCCACTTCCCGCAATGCCCAGAGGTTGTCCACACACACACACACATGCCACCCTCACAGCCACGCCTCAAGGTCACTGGCCCTTGGCCCTCTCTAGCAAAGACACACCCAGTTGCCCCTGATCCACAGCCCCCCTGAGCCGCGGCCCCCACACATGCACGCACCGGGGAATAAGAGGCTGTGACATCACGTACCATGATGGAACTTCAGTGTTGCCAGGGCACGCACCCCACGGGCACCCCTCGCAGTCTGGGAGCCCTACTGAGGCCCAAGGAGGGGCCAGGACTTCCCCAGGATCACCCAGAAGCGGGGGCGTGGGGAACCCACTCGCCCCCACATCAGGGCGCTCTCTGCTCCTACGGGGAGCGGGGGGTGGTTGCCTCCTTGTCCAGGGTGACCACAGGAAGCCCACTCAGCGTCAGAAGCCCTTACGGGCCACCGGGAAGGCCGGGGGGCCTGCCCGGTCCTCTGCTCCCCATGCAGGCGAGGCTGCCTGCATACAGCTTCCTGCCCCCAGGAGGGCCTGCCTGGCACACGCCGGCGGCTGCCCCGTCCGTCCACAAGGCTGCAAGCTCAGATGCTCCGCACACTGGAGATGCTGGATAGGGGCTCCCGCATCCGAAAGCTGAGCGACCGGGAGCCCCGAAAGCTGTCCCTCGGCCTGAGCGAGCTGTCGGTGGTGGAGGCTCCGGAGTGGGCCTCGACGGCCCGGGCCAGGCAATCCCCGGGGCCACGCACGCCCAGGCGGAGACAGCCGCAGCAGAGGAAGCTGAGCACCGCCTGGCACACCTCCCTGCTGCGGAAGGAGTAGATGACCGGGTTGACCGCAGAGTTGAGGACGGCCAGCGCCAGGATCCAGTCCATGCCCCGCAGGTACTCCTGGGCCCAGAGGTTGGAGCCGAAGACGTCGGCCAGCAGCAGCCCGAAGAGCGGGCCCCAGCACACCAGGAAGGCCAGCAGGATGAGCAGCACCGTCTTGAGCAGGCGGCGGGCTTTGCGGCGGGCGGCGGGGCGCGGGGCTTTCTGCCCGCTGGCCTGCACCAGGCGGAAGATGGCCCCGTACAGGGCCATGATGGTGGCCAGGACGCCGGCGAAGATGACCAGGCAGAAGAGGATGTAGCGCTTGGAGTAGAGCGGCAGGAGGCTGGAGCAGCGCTGGAAGGCGCACAGGCAGTTCCAGCCCAGCAAGGGCAGCAGCCCCAGCAGCGCGGCCAGCAGCCAGCACAGGCCGATGAAGCCGTACACGCGGCCCGTCTTGGAGGCCCCGCTCTCGGCCACCGGCCGCACCATGGTGGCGAAGCGCTCCCCGGCGGTGAACAGCAGGCTGAAGGTGGACGCGGCCAGCGCGGTGAAGAGCAGCCCCTCGCGCAGGAACCAGTGCACGGGGGACAGGCGGAAGGTGCGGGGACCCGACAGCAGCACGTTGGCCAGGTAGGCCGCGCCGGTCAGCAGGTCGCTGAGCGTGATGTTCACCAGGCAGTAGTACACCCAGCGCCGGGAACGCATGTGGCTCGCGATGGCCGCCAGCACCAGCAGGTTCTCCAGCACCACCAGGCAGCCGGCGGCCACCGACAGCCCCCGCAGCGCCCCCAGGCCGCCGTCCTCCGGCCCCCCGCGCCCGGCCAGCCGGCCCGAGTGGTTGTAGTGCAGGACGATGAGCCGGCTGTGCCCGCCGGCCGCCAGCTGTTGGCAGGACTCGGGGGCCGCCGGGGTCCCCGTGGCGTTCATGGCCTCCCCCGGGGGCTGACTGAGGCCCCGGGGGAGGGTGGAGCCGCCTGCCTCGCTGGTCTTGGTTTCCTGTTATGTGAAATTTCCTGTTATGTTCAAGGTACCCTCCGGGGTGGAGGTAAGGCCGAGGGCAGGGAGGGGCACCCCAACGGTCGGCCCCCACCCCGGCTCCCGGAGGCAACGCGCTGGGGCTGCCCTGGCTGTCAGGCCCCCACCCCTGCCCCTGCGGCCCCCTTCCTGTCCTGGAAAGCGGAAGACACGCAGGGACTCGGAGCTGTCAGTCACTGAGGGGCAATGGGCCCCCACATGGGACAGCCACCCCTCTCCAGCGGGACTCCTCCTCCTCCCCGCCAGCCCTGATCACCCCCAAAGACCTGTCTGCACCACTGAGGTCTCCCCAAATGCCCCAAGCACGCTCCGCACACAGCAGGGTGCTTAATAAATGTCAAGTGCTCGCACGCCCTTGAGGACTGACTCATCAGACTTTACCTTCTCAATAGAGCCTGATGCATTATGCTCCTTTACAGAAGGGGAAACTGAGGCCCGGAGAGGTGGCCTGAGACTGACTTTCCGCCCTCGGGAGGACAGGCACCTCCAGGGAGAGGGACACCCAGGGACAGGCTGGTAGGGGTTCGGGGCCGGCCCTGGTCCTGGGAGTCCTGATTGCCTCTCCCGCCCCTGGGCTCACCCTGCTGGGAGCGGAGCTGCTGGACCCACAATGGGATTGCAGCGCACTCGGAAAAGCAGGGACTTGCTCACCTCACCCCCACAGCCCTGCTGACACCCGCTCACAGTGATTCAGCCTGAGGTGAGGTGGCTGTGGGTCTGAAGGGGGAGACACACCCTGCCTTGGGTCTGAGTGGGGAGGCAAGGCCCTGCCCTCGGGTCTGAGCAGAGAGACACACCCTGCTTTGGGTCTGAATGGGGAGGCAGGCCCTGCTCTGGGGTCTGAGGGGGGAACACGACCCTGCTCTGGGGTCTGACGGGAAGGCTCAGCTTTGCCCTGGGGTCTGAGCTGGGGGAAGCAGGCCCTGCCCTGGGGTCTCAGGGGGAAGGCAAGGCCCTGCCCTGGGGTCTGAGAGGGGAGGCGAGGCCCTGCCCTGGGGTCTGAGGGGGAAGGTGAGGCCCTGCCCTGGGTCTGATGAAGAAGACACATCCTGCCCTGGGGTCTGAGCAGGGAGGCATGGCCCCACCCTGAGGTCCGAGTGGGGACACACAGCCTTGTCCTGGGGTCTGAGGGGGGAGGCAGGCACTGCCCTGGGGTCTGAGGGGGGAGGCGAGGCCCTGCCCTGGGGTCTGAGGGGGGAGGCGAGGCCCTCCCCTGGGGTCTGAGGGGGAAGGCGAGGCCCTGCCCTGGGGTCTGAGGGGGGAGGGTCGGCCTTGTCCTTGGGTCTGAGCGGGGAGGGTCAGCTTTGTCCTGGGGTCTGAAGGGGAGGCTCAGCCTTGCCCTGGGGTCTGAGGCATATGGGGACCTGGACGTCACCTGTCATGGACAGAGGGTGGGGTCTCTGCTGTCCACCTCCGCCTGTGTCTGTGACTCCCACTCGTCCCCACCCAGGAGGCCTTGGGGTGCGGAGTGGTTTGGGAAATAGTGCAGAACCAGAGGTGTGAGCGGGACCCAGGATAAGTCCCTGCTGCGTGCCTCGTCCCACCCACAATCACCCCTAGGCCAGGCCCGCTGACCACCAACGAGGGTCCTGAGGGCCCTCACCTGCCCCTCACCCCCAGGAGCCTGTGGTCTTCAGCCCTCCTGAGACAATGGTGTCCTTAGCCTCAGGGTGAGGACAGCTGCACTCATTCTACCAGCCAGGTGTCCTGGAGGGGTCACAGGTGTACCATGTGGCACAGGTGTCTCATAAGGGCACAGGCATCCCATGAAAGGTACAGGCAT